TCTTATAGTTGATTTTTGTAGAAATAGGATTACATATTTTTTCAGGTGACAATGAGAGCGGGAAAACTACGCTTATAGCTAAACTACAAGGTGTAGAGGACCCGAAGAAAGGTTCTGGGCTAGAATTTGCATATATCGACGTGAGAGATGATTACAGAGACGGTTAGCATGAAATTAAGATAATCGTTTAGATGATTGCTAAGATAGATATTTGGATTATTGCTTAATTACAGCTTGATATTGGACAAATAATGTGATGTTTGATTTCTTTGCAGATCACACGAGACTGTCCGTATGGGTTCTAGATGGAGACCCGGGTCACGCAAATCTTCTGAGATATGCTCTGAACAAAGAGAGGTTTCCACATACGCTTGTTATGTTAGTCGCTGCCATGACCACGCCATGGGCCATTCTCGATCAGCTTCAATCGTGGGCGGCATTGTTAGGCGATCACATTGACAAATTACCTTTAGATAATGATACTAGGCAACGATGCAGGCAGCTCAGTAAGTAGGATAAAACGGATGTGATACGTAGTGCTATACCATTGCTTGTAAACGCCATTAATAATGTAAATATCGCTCGTCACTTTGATTATTTCTCGCTTTTTTTCATTTTTAATGATCAAAGTTAAGACTAATATTTGCAATGCGTATTTTTGCCAGTAGAAAGTAAATGTCGAGCTTCTTGAGAAACATTACATTGTTACATTACATTTTATTTCGATAGATATTAAGAAGTGGCAAGACTATACAGAACCAGGAGATGAACTTGATCCTGGAAGTCCTTTGCGACGTACAAGTCGTAATCTGGATGATGACACCGCCGAAGGCTTACCCTTACCGGAAGGAGTACTTACAACCAATTTAGGCCTAGACGTCGTCGTAGTCATAACGAAAACTGATTATATGTCCACTCTTGAAAAGGAACAGGATTATAAGTGAGTATCGAGTGAAAAATTCAAGGTGGTAATGCAAATCATTTAACAAACGTTAATCTCGCATCGGTTATTTCCTTTTTGTTCACAGAGACGAGCACTTCGACTTCATGCAACAATGGATCAGGCGGTTTTGCTTACAATACGGCGCGGGTCTCTTCTACACATCGGCAAAGGAAGACAAGAACTGTGATTTGCTTTATAAATATTTAACGCATAGAATTTACTCTTTACCGTTCAGAACACCGGCATTGGTCGTCGAAAAGGATGCAGTACTTATGTAAGAACATCTGATTGACGCGACTAAAAAAATTTTTTTCTTTTTTTCACGTGTGCATATGTTAAAATTATTTGCATTGCGCATTATTTTCAGACCTGCTGGTTGGGATAACATGAAGAAGATTAGTATTCTGCACGAGAATTTACAATCCATGAAGGCAAACGATTACTATCGCGATGTTATCGCACAGCCAGCAACGAATCGAAAAGTATGCTATCGTACCGCTTCGTATTACTGCTTTGCGCTCCTAATATATACAACTTTTCTGACACGATGCAAATGTACTAGCTGAATATTTTATCTGTTATTGATATAGTGCGTTGCTAGAGAAATGGAGGTTCAGGCGGAAGATGAGCAAGCTTTTCTCGCGCGGCAGCAAGCAGCTCTGTCGGGCTTGAAAGACCCTACTCGTTCTCCAACGACTCGGAATCAGGCAAGCCCTGGACCAGTTATACAGGTTATACCATTTACAAATGGAGCATGCTCTTCATGTTGCGTGTCAAGTCAAAGAACCACAGCATTGTCACTAATTTTCTCATTGCAACTATAAGATCGTGCGAGTGATTCATTAATCTCATCTTTTACATACGGAACTATGAAGTCTGTAACCCAACATACATTTGTGCCAGTTATTTCATTCATTATACATAATTGTCACGTAAATGTTTCGTTCATTTGTACAGATCCATTTATTTGATGTTAAGAGTAAATGTATTTTTGTCCTTCGTGTATTAAGAGCTTACGCGCCTTTTAGAAAACCTGCTTAATGTATCTAATGAATTCACTTCATAGAATGACAATGTAGTTGCAGTTCATTAACATAGTGACAAAAGTGTCTCATCATGCAAAGTCATTTATTCCATTTAACATACAGTAATTTAATCCTAAAGCCGATAAATTATGGCAATAAATCATGTACAAAAATTCCCGATAGTCCACTGTACATGTGTCGTTTAACACTCCACGTAATTTCAATTCCAGCCGTCATCTCGTGTGGTTATTGCAGTTAACATTTGAAAGCATGTTCTAATCTATGTGGTATGATCTGTCCATTACGAGTAGTAAAACTCCTTTTCTCAACAATGGACAGACACTAATGATTTTGCGAATAGGTCGCGTCACCGAACAAAAAACTGGATCCCAAGGGTAGCGGCGCGACACCGTCCGGTGAGGGTGTCTTAGCTAATTTCTTCAATTCTCTTCTCTACAAGAAGACTGGAGTGCAGCCCGGTTCACCGGGAGCGCCGGGTAGCGTAGGAACAAGTCCCATGAAACTTGGTATGTATAATAATAACTTCTACTTATAATAAAAATGTACTGAAAGAGACATTTCGTGTTTCAGATGCTACACCGGTGGACAAGGCAACGATGTGTAATGACGCAGCAGCGGAGTTAGATCGTCTTACTCGGACCAAGAAACTTTCACCACCCAACCTGAACTCGTCGTCTGAATGTTAAAAATAGCGCGCTTTTTCTTCGCGATCCATTGATACAATGAAGATGATAAATCGGAAGCTTCGTTGCCATTAGACAGAATTCCAACACAAATCTGAAATACCTTGTAGCCCACTCGTTATAATGGGAACGATCGTAGGTAAGATGTGGATTGCGAAGAGGTAAAATTTAGCTCTAATCTAATCGATGATAATGTAACCTGATCACATCGCAAAAGAGAAAAATTAAAAAAATATATAATCTGTCTTGCAGTTTTGCGACAGCTTCGAATGTCGTAATCGACTAAATATCAATAACGAAGCAGAAAACAATTAGAAAGCTATTAAATTAATGTGTAATTAAAATATTTAATATAATAATATTACTGAGATATATATGCTTACGCACACATGTCTTAGCGCCTGGTCATAGTAAATTATTTAGCAACGCCCGTGTACGTGGAAACGGAAACGCGGTTTTTTTTATCGTTCTATATATTTACATACGAATGCACATCTTTCTCTTTTTCATAAGCGAATACTCTTATGTTTTATATACTCGATCGATTTTCTTTACGAGATAGATCTCCATGTTGGCTCGTCACTGCATTCGGTCTAATTTTGACAACGTAAGTGCCGTTAGCGTTGTAAAAGTGTTGTGCGAATGCATGAGATAGTCTTTTATACGAATTGTTCATAAAATAAAATGGGAGAATCCTTTTAATGGAAGACGCAGTGCAGTCTTCAGATTTAGGGATAAATAATGGTACGAGACTGGAACAGATGTCCATATATCGCGCGTGTAAATTCTATATTTCCTTTGTGGATTTCTAGCTGAGTATGTTATCCGTAGACTCAAGAAAGCAGGTGAGCAGAGATATGTACATTCGATTATCAACATAAATGTGGCTCTATGTATATGAAATTCAAATCCTCGATGAAAATAAATAATTTTTCGTATATCTTGTTTCGTACACTTATTTTTAGTTCGAGCAATAATTAATTTATGATACAATTTAATTACAATTCTATTGAGTGACACTTAATAAAGGAATTCGTACGGCGAATTTGTATATACAAAATTCCTTTATTTCATTATACTAGATAAAATACATCGAAGCAATCAATGATAATGCGATAATATAATCTTCCCTGTCCCCTGTATGGGAACACATTTGCGACATGATTATCGCAGCTCAGACTGTTGTCACAATTTTATTTATATTATTTATAATATCATATAATTCGCATTGTATATTGATGATTATATAGTGATATATATTGAAATAAACCTCGAGAAAGACAGTAATAAAATAATTATTAGAAATACTGTCAAAATAGGAATGGCTTTCAAATATAAATCATTCTATTTTATATATTCATTACTTCATATTTTTCGTCTAAAATTACGTCTTATCGAGCGTCGTGATATATACCAATATAAATAATTTTTGAAATTCAGCTAATCATCAAGTACTTGACTACAAACTGAGAATCAAATAACATAAAACTCACTCATTCACATTCGGCAATTATTTATAAGCAAAAGCGCTTACACGAAATATATACAAGAAATGCATCAAAACTGACATAAAAAAAGAAAAGAGGATATATGTCTTTATAGCTTCATAAGACATAGGTATACGATAGGATCAGTGACAAATCCACACTTTTTAGAGCTAAAGCTAATATTTCTGAAAAAAGATCTATTCTATAAATATAAAATTATACATATATACATATATATTCGTATCTCATATACATACATATATGTATATGTATCTCATATACATATATGCATATGTATATCTTATGTATATATCTTTCGTATATGTGTATATATGTATATATATTTATTACTGTCAAAATTGATATAAACAATATTATTAATATAAACTTATTTATTAAAAGTCATTTATCTTTGAAATATTAAAACTTCAAAAATATGATCAATATAAGTTTTATGTCAATTAATATAATTATTACGTTCAAATATATAATTAATATATCAATTATAAAGTTGAGAAAAGAAATTGAACATACAGCTTCGTTACTTTGCCGCTGTAGATGTAGATCCGTCACTGCGTTGTTATCGAAAATATTTTTAACAATTTATGTAACATCACGTATATTAGCAGATTATAATAGCTACTCAACAACAATAAATCATCTTATTATATTTCTTCTTTTATTTGTATACTTTGAAAAATCAAACAATTAAAATGCAATATTTTTATACTTATTATTAATTTTGGCAATCTATGTGAGAATTATTCGAGATGAATATAAAATTATTATTTCTACTGATATTCGGAAGAACTTTTTAACGTCTACTGAGCAATTTCTGAATTTTTTATCAATGCAGAAAGACGACAGTAGATATTTATAAATGGTAAATAAAGGTTTTTGTAGGAAGGTTATTGGAAATATGTTACACCTACGTATCAATAGCCGTACGGCTACATATAAACGCAACTTCAACAGCATAATACATTATCTATCATGCAACAAGTTTCTCTTATTAGAGATGTGAATAATAAATAATAATTGTGCGTACTTATACTTATCGCGGGTCGTTTATCAATCAGTTTACATTTTTATCTATAAACCGCAGCTCGAGAGAAGAGAGACATTTAATATCTTCACTATTCTTCAATGTTACGCTATTGAATATCATGATTTTCTTTTAAAACAACGTTACTTTGCGATTCAACTTGGCATGATGCTGTCAGAAATAAACGGTACGCAAGAGGAAACATTTTTCTCTCGCGAAGTGTCGTGGATCGTCGTGGATTATAATTCGTCCGTCATACAATCGTTCTCTCGGAAAAACTTAAGCGCGCAATGCGGCCGGTGACAGTCTTTTATTTTTAGTAGAGTAGAATGCGTTTGTCTACCGCCTTGCGACATATTGGACACTCCGACATCCGGTCGCCGCACATTTGGCAAGTACCATGTCCGCACAGGAAGATCATGTTTTTCAGACGGTCCAGACAAACCGGGCACATGGTCTGCAACAATAAGAGAATAGGACTTTCGCAAAATATTCTGCACGGTGTTCCGAATTCAGTAGCCCGTCATGAGCAAATCAGTTTATTCAAGCTTCGCTATTACACTCGAATGGTTTCCAGGAGTTTCCGATTTTTGTCACGTATCTTTTATTTATAACATTAAATCTGTATCTTTTAGAAAGTTTAGATTTTCTTAAAATCCCGCTCGAAGTCGAATAAAACAAAATTAATTTCTTCTAATCGAATTCTTCTAATTCATTTATGATCTAAGTTCTTGAATCTTTCTTGAAACTAATGAAGTAAAAACTAGGAAGAGCCACGGTTGAAGTTGTTGCGGTACTCGCGACAAGAAGGCTTGAAATACAGCCCGAGAAAACGTATTCCGGTTTTTCGAGAGCGAGAGGTAATTGTACGGAGCGCGGTGCGGACTTCTTTCTTCGACACAAATTAAATTATTCGTTTCATTAAAGCGGCGCATAACGAAGCGAGACGCGGAAGGGACACGTACCTGCTCCTTGATGTCCTGCAATTGCTGCTGTAGTTTTTGTATGTCGCTGTGGGAAGTATCTCGGCTGCCGTTGTTCATTAGGAGAGCTTCCCCAGCCCCAGTGTTGTTCGAGGGCGTCGGCTCTTCTTCGGGATCCGCCTTGACTTCGGATATTGTTCCTTCGAAGCATAATAGTTGTTAAAAAAAAAGAAGAAAGAAAAAATAAAGAAGAAAAGTCTCGCCAATTCCCCGACAACGGTAGCATCGCTAAGCGATGCTTTTATATTTACTTATCACAATTCATATTTTTACTCGCAATATAATTAACGTTATATCAATAGCAAAATAAATATTTTAACTAGAGAAAACATCAGAACTAATATACAAAACGGTTATGCAATAGATTACATCAAAAAGTTTGCATTATGGGTTGTCAGTAAATATAGAAAAATTAGACATATTTTATAATTTTTGAAATACTTTTTACATTAATAATATAATTCGAAGAGTATCAGAAATATACGTGTGTTAGCTACTTTTGCGACCACGTTTTAACCCGGGAACATGCGCCTAGTGATTTTTACACCAGCATCGAAAAAATAAAGCTCACGCCACAATTTTAATGTTTTCGTTTTTTAATAATTTTTTCGTCCCTCTTTACTTTTTTCAAAATATTTTAATTTAAGTAAATCTATTGCCTTCAAATGCTAATAAGTTATATAACAATAAAAAATATACAATATGTAATTAATAACAATAACTTTTAATTGAGGTGTAATAATCACTCCAGGTGACTGTTCATGCAAAAATAAAAAAGAAATCAGGCCGTTCGCGGGTTAAAGGCGATCTTCAATCCGATTCACCCTTCGATCCCGATCATTATCTTAATTATTGGAAGGCAGAAAATGCACGCGTGAACCGTGCAGATACGGTTTTGAGAATAGTTCGTGTATATTCCAAGCGAGATTAGAGGTGAAGCTATCTAATCGTTATGTGGAAGCAGTTCAATATATTCCGTGCGATTAGATAGATGCGAGGATAGAGGCGAGAAGAGGCTGCGCGAAGCGGGACGTTGATACCTGAGGCGTTGCACCCCTTCACGTAGGTGACATCACCGCCGCCGCCGCAGCAGACCGAGAGCGGTACCATGTGCTGTATCTGGGCCCGGCATTGCACGCACTTCTTCATCAGGGCCGCACAGCTCTCGCAGGCGCACATGTGTCCGCACGGGCGGAACAGCACGCCCGCCTTGCGATCCGAACACACCACGCATTCTTCGATCTGGGAACAAACGACCATTATTGCGCCAAGGCAGGAGATGGGTAGAATGCGCGTTTAGAGTTTCGAGGATCTATTTCCAGGACAGAACGGGACTATTCGGTCAACAATCGTCGGTCTACGAAGTGACAGCGTGGCTGTATCGAGTCATATCGATGAAAGGAGTAACTTATTGCGCGACTAAAACTTCAGCGGCTTTACAGAAGATTAAATTAAGGCTACTGGAAATGTATTGCTGATGTATAAAGATAAAATTGATTTTTCTCTCACAGAGAAAAGTTCATTTTCTATAAACAAATTTATACAATCGTCAAAAAGGAGAAGAATTATTATTAAGGACATTATTAAAACACAATTGACAGGAAATTTATAAATCTAATATTAATATAAAAATAGTTTGTAAAAAAATAGTTTTGAAAGTGAAAATGGCATTATATATTTATATTACATTCTAATAATAGGAAAATATAATAATAGCGTCAATATTTTACCTTTACTCGAGAGAGAACATTTTCACGACAAATCAGACATTTCTTCACCCTCGGCGCACAGGCGTTACAACAAGCAACGTGCCCACAGGGACCGAACAGCATCTCTCGTTTGCCATCGGAGCATACGAGACACTCGTCGATCGCCGCCGATGGGACAGGGGGTTCGTCGATGTCGTGCCTGGAAAGGGGAACTACACGTTACCGAATATTATTATCCTAAGAGATACGGCGATGTATGGTGTAATTGCACAGGGAATTAGACGTGGAGCACGGAACGAGACAATCAATTGTACGAATTCGCGTTTTAAATTCTTTGCGATCAAATCTTTTGTTTTCTCTTATTAAATCGTATTAAATAAATCAAAGTTTTTGCGAAAGAAAAATTCCTACAAATTCCACTAACGGATTATTATGTTGAGCAAAATCTTGAAAAAAAAAAGGGTCTATACCTCGGTTATTATATTCAACATTTTTTAATAAATGGGGGGCGTTCTTATAAAATCCAGTTTGAAGTTAAGGGGCAAAGAGGCTCGAAAGAGCGCTCCTCTCCTCTCCCAAATAGGTACTAACGACTCCTTATCCTTGTGACAGGTGGTGAGAGTCTTGCAGAGATTCGGATCCGGGCAAAGGTCCAAAGGTGTCTGGCCCTTTTTGTTCTTGAGCTCCAGGTCGGCGCCGTGCGCCGCGAGGAAGCA